TTGATCTCAGCTGGAAATGAACGCATGGGGAGATGTATTTTGTGTCTGTGTGTGTGTGTGTGTGTGTGTGTGTGTGTGTTTGTGTTCATTTGAGAAACCACAGCTTATAGCTTTCGGTTTTATGGGCTCCATTATTTTTCTCATTGCTACTGAAGGAAGGAGGGGGCCCTATAGATATATGTATAAAAGACCATTGTGCTAATTAGCCCTGAATACAAATGAATTATATAATTATCTCTACTTTTGTGGAGTGAGATATGTTGTCATATCACACACTTCATCTGATGTTGCTGCTCAGTCTTAATGATGCCTTTAGAGTGAGTGTCCTCCTTTGTTCTTCCCAGCAAGAGTTTCTTTTGGAGGGGAGGATGGCAGCACAGAGAGGGAAAAGGGAGATTTTTTAAAAAATAATAAAATAAAAGATCATATGGAAGAAAGGAAAACTGCTACAGTTAAGAGATCTGAGTATAAAGGTTATTACGAGTACAATGGAAGTGGGGAACCCCCATAACTGACCAAGCCCTTAGTGAGGAAGATGCAACAGTCCTTTAGTTTCTCTAAAAATGTAAATTAGCAAGGAATGCATTTAACAAGAAAGAGGTAAATTATGATAATTACTTTGACTGATAGGGTCCTTGAGCATTACTAATTAGCATTTATTGCCTGGATTATTGAAACAATGTGTGTGTTCTCTAGAGTAAAGGACCTAAGATGCCCCCCCCCTTTTGAGCTATTGGGTGGGGATGGGGTGGGAGGGAAGAGAAATCCCAACTCAGAAAAGCTGAACTGTTAACACGGGGCTCCTCTTGCGAGCCTTGTGGACACTGCCATTTAGAAAAGGTGTAAGAGAATAGTATCAAAAAGTCCTGTCCTTTATTGCGCTCTCTCTCTCTCTTTCTCTCTTTCTGCCTCATTTTAGCATTTTGTAGCCTTTGTGAGACGGGGCCAGAAGCTCACAAAGGGATAGCAACAGTTTAAGGAAAACTCCTACCTCCACTACTCCGTACACACAAAATTATTGGGGAGGGGGAACAATATGAGTGTGACTCTCTGCATAGTTCTAGAAGGGTGTCTAGATGCGAGCTATTAGGAAAATGGAACGCGAACAATCTTAAAAGGCGAGACAAAGAACTGCATTCAAATGGTGAATTCAAAATCTCATCAATGGCTGGTTTTTATTTGTATTTAATGTGGCCCCGTGATACAAACAAGCAAGCCCGAATGGACCCCTATCAGAGCTGGGGTTTTGTTCTCTTCTGTTGCTGGCAAAGGATTTATAAAGTGAAAGGAGCTTGAAATTAGAAATCAATTAGGAACAAATCAATCATCTCATCAGCACCAGCCCTTTAATTGCATGTCAGCCATCTAATTGGTAACGGGCCCAAGAAAACACTTAAAAGGCTCTGGAAGGAATTAGGAAGGGGGGGAAAGGTAGAGAAGCTGGACTCCATTTTAGCTTCCAAGGGCTGAGCTACCACCTGCATTCAAAAGCTCTTGAAATGCAAGAGGAACAAAGAACTTTGAAAGAATAGGCCAGGACATTCTGACATGGAGAAGGAAGGACTCCTGAACTATAAAGAGACTCGCTGCTCACAAATATTATTATAATAATGAATTGTAATAAGAATCCTTCAGATTTTAACTCATGCAAAAGGTTCTGGGTTTATAGATAGATAGATAGATAGATAGATAGATAGATAACATATGCAAAAGTGGAAACATAATAGCGTTAGATCTGAAAGATGTGTTCATTTTCAAACAGATTAGCAGAGGAACATGTTAGAGTAGCTTGCATTCAGATCAGGCATACTGCAATTCATACTAGCTAAGGACTTCTGCTGTTGGTTTGTCGTCCTATTTAACAAAAGAATGTACTGCAACATAATAATAATAATAATAATAATAATAATAGAAGTCAAACTTGACCGTTGACTTTTCCCCCCGTGGTTTCCCTGCAGATTAAGTGATTCTCCCTAGCACAACACACAGACCTGTTAATGACATACTGAGAAATTCGAGAATAGTTCGAGTGTCGTTCTCGATTCTCTTAAAATAAAACATTTACCTATCAGAACTTAGTAATATAATGCATGGCTGAGAGAGGAAAGGAAAAGAAGGGGGAAGGGCTGTTGAGAGGAAAGGAAGAATGATTTGTTAGAAGGAGCAAAAGGAAACCTGCTTCTGATTATTCACATGGATTCCTGTTTGATTACTCAGAAATTCTTCCAACTGGATACATTTATAATGCAATTCCATTCCAAGCACCACCTTTACCTCTTAGATGACACAAATGCCAAGCTAACTGAGAAACCCCATTGAGCTTATAGGTTTCCACACATGATGGGGGGAGAAATGTGGAATGTGGGAGATATAATGTAAGGGGGGGCAGAAGAGAGAGAAAAAGTGCATTCGATTGCTGCTATTATAGCTCCTTTCTCTCAGAGTTCCTGCTTTCCTAAATTACCCCCAAACATCTCTCTTGCTTTTCCCCCCAAGTTAAGATTTTGCACTTTGAGAAAAAGAGGGAGATCAGTATCCATAAGGGCCTTCTTGTTTTGAGTGCGCTTTCCCTTAAAAAAAAGACAGCCCCCTCTAATTGATGTGTCTGGGCTAGTCTAGACTGGTAGTGATTGAACCAACTCCCAATTATGTTATTCATTTCACTGAACTTCAGTGATGTGCTTCTGGGGGGGGGGAGGGGGGAGAGGGGAGGGAGAACCTGTCTGTGCTACAGAAGGAGGAGAGAGAGAGGAAGACTGCATTCTCAGGCATTGGTGCCTTACACCTTGTTTCCCTATGGAATCTATTACCCAGCAATCATCTGAGTGCATTGACAAATCTACCATTATCCCTAAGGGATGGGAGGTAGGAAAGGCGATTATTTCCATAGCACCTATACACACAATCAGGTTGCTAGACCATATTATTCTCCACAATTTGATTTGGAAGCAGGGGGAAGGGGTGGGGACTAACAGAAGGTTGGCATCGCTGAACAAAAAGAGAAATATCTGATCTCATTTTATTTATTTCCATTTTAAAGCTCCCATTCAAATACTGTATTAAACTACCTGTGCCGAGATGATTCACGGTAAATGTTGGACACACAGACATTAAAACAATTTATTGCTGAAACATCACAAAAAAACCAGTCTCTTCACTGTTTTTGTTGTTTTTAAAGACATGAATGGTTTAAAATCTGCTTTAATATATTATCATAGACCAGCAAAACATAACATATTTTCCCTCATAAATTGTAGGTGTGAAGTGAAAGGTTTGGAAGACTTTAGGGTATTTTTGTGCTGAATCCAAAAACAGCAGGATGGTAATGACAAAACAACATCAGGTGAGGTTAACATAGGAATCCTGATTTTACTGAAAAGATTCTTAGCTGCATTACACAGCGAAGGAAGGATGTCATTCAGAATTTAGCCGGCAAAAGGTTTTTGCCTTTAATTTTTGGGAGGCAACAAAGAAGTGGAATTAATAAGCATTATTGTTCTTTTATAAATAGTTTAACCACTTATATGGCTTGAAGTATCAGACAAGTAGTCAATGCTATGTACCTTTGCGCAGAAGCAAATCCCACTGCGTGCAGTAGGAATTGTGTTCAAGTAATCAAGCATCGGATCAGAATCTTACATGTTGTCTCAAAGAGTAGCACCAATTTAGTTCAATGGGACTAGTTATTCATAGGATCACATCTTTAGCGTTAGATCCTCCCACCTTCAGTGACTCTATTTGCTGCATTGTTCATTAAGCTAATTCAAAAAGGACCATCACCAGACAGTAGTAACCTAATTATAAATTGCCTACCGGAGGAATCATTTAAAAAATGCAACCACAGGCATAATAAATACTGGCCTCTCTCTCTCTCTCACACACACACACCATATTAGTTTCTTTCTTTCTTTTTTAAAGCACTTTGTCAATTCAACCTCTCACCAAGAAAATAAAATGAAAATAAGTCATGATGGATTTGGATGTTAAGGCAGGGGATGGGGAACATTGCAACCAGGAAAGAACAGCTGTTTGCTACCATAAGTCATATTGTTTATCTTGAATATAATGTTGAAATGGGGAAAAGACAGACATGTAGATTAAAAAAAAAAAAAACCACTAACAGATATCCACGCACAGTCCTTTCTTTACAATGCATCTCTCTCCAGAGGACATTTGTTTGAGAGATATTGTTCAGTTTTAAACTTAGAAGTGGGTGGGATTCTGGGATTTCAGCTGAGAGATAGACTGAGGTCAGGCACCAAGGTACTGAGCTGTTTCTGTTACGCTCTGAGGGTACTGTGTGCTGCTCTCAATAAAGTGGGGAGGGGGGAATAGATGCTTTTATTGACAGGCCCATAAGCAAGCCGTTATCACCCCTACACATTTAGATTCATCACAGGTATTTATTCGTAGAAAGGCATTAGAAATCCTGATAGCTGGACATCATGTTGAAAACTGAAAGTACAGAAGTGCAAAGGCTGGGGGGGCATAATGCATTCCAGAGCCTTGTCAAAAATGTCAAAATATATCGTATTTGAAGGTTCCAAGGACAAGAAGGCTAGATAAACAAGAGTTCCACTGGGTACATTATATATATGAAAAACATAGGTCCCCGATCTCTACAGTTACTGACATCCATACAGATGCTCACACCTGGATTCGCAAATTCACATCCATTCCTATAACTTGCCCACATAAACTTGCACATGGAAACCTTCAGCCTGTGTCCGCACTGTGGCACAGACATACAGAAAGACCAAGCCAGGTCAACTCTTTATATGGAAACAGATACACAAAATTTAAATGTCATTATTTACCACTGTATATTATTTGGGGAGGCGCAGTAATCAAAGTCAATGTTTTAAACCTCCTGGTTTTTGGAGGGAGCAGGAAGGGAACCACCCTAATGCAATGGCAAAGACCTACTTGAACTTAAAGGAAGTTTCCTCTTTCAAGTTTTACTAATGCATAAGACTCGAGAAAGATGTAGTGGCACAACTCACAGCTCCCAAGAGCCTAACCCGTGGACTTAAAAACGAAACGTCACAAGTTAGGGTCTCAGGGACAGAGAGGGGCGCAATCCAAGGGTTCCTGCACACCATAAAAATTAATATTGTTTATTTTTGGGAGGGGGACAGTAAACCATAAATAAAAGTCAATTCAAAAATGGGAGGTTGGGGGGGGGAGGAGGGAAAGGGTAAAATTAAAATTAAAAAATCACCAAACAATATCTAAAAAGAAAGTGGGGTGGGGAGGGATCTGGAATTAAGAAGGGCAGAAAAATCCTAAACCAGAATATCTACGTCGAAAGACAAGGTTTCAATGGGGGGGGGGGGATGCATTCAAACAATTGGTACAAAAGAAGAAAGAAAGAAAGCCAAACCCTTTTCCAGCAATAAACAACATTCAATGTATATTTATTGTTTAAAAGTTTAACTAGAGATAAGTTATATTAGATACAGGCTGGGCATTTTGTTCATGAGAACAGTAACATTCTACAGCAAAACTATTCACCTGGTAGAGAGGCATGCAAGGATGGAGAGGCATAGATCTCCTTTGGAAAATTATATTGGGGAATTTTTATTTTTTTAAAAAGCACCATAAAATACTCAGAAGTGGGGGAGGAAGCCGTTTGAAACTCACCCTTTGGAAGTGGCGAAGGGTCCAGTCTTCAACAAAAGCAGAGCAAATTTTAAGATGCAAGGGGAGGGGAAAAGGAGAAAGTGCCTCGGTGGGAAGAAATAAGTGGATTTGGGGGTTTCCTAGATTGGGTAGGGAATCTAGAATAGGCACCAACCCCGCCTCTGAAGAGCTCTTCGCTATATTTTGAAACAAGGCAGAAGAGCTAGCCGTGAATGTGTGAGAGTGGGAATCATTTTTTTCCTTCAAAAAATTGTTTTTAATATATAGATATATATTTTTAAAAAATCAATATATTTTATTTCCCAAATCTTCCGGATTTCAGCCTCCTCCCGCCCGGCAGCGTCGCCAAATCAGGCCCGTGACGGGTCAGAATCGAGGCCGGTTTTAACAACAGCCAGCTCCGGTTTGTCTGGTGGAAGACCGGAGGGGCGGGAGGGAGCGAGGGAGCTGGTGCAGCCGCCCACCCCCCACCCCTCCAGAAAACCCCGCATCCCATCTCACGGATAGCCTCCATTTCGGGAAAGGGGGGGGGTTGGGAGGAAGAGGAAGGAGGGGGGGAAGACCTGAAGACATAATCACCTTGCAACAGTCTGCGAGAGAGAGCTGGCAACAGGCTGGTAGGGACGGGGTGGGGTGGGGTGCGGGGAGACTCTCCCTCTCTACTCCCCCCCCCCCGCGGACAAAACCACACACCTAACTGATATGAATGCAGACCGTATTAACTCTTAAAACGGCCCTCTCCTCTCTCCCCCCCCCGCCCCCGCCATCATAGATCCTTGGACAATTCTTCCAAAGAGGGAGGGTTTCTTGCAAACGCCCCCCCCCCCACGCAAGAAATCACTCAGGTCTCATATTTCTCCACCGCGACTTTTCTAACTATACAGCACCCCGGACCCACCCACCGACCCACGATTGAGAGGCCTTTGCCTGGACAATCTCTCTCCACCCTCAAAAAATAGTGTGTGCATTGGGCAAAGATTAATAAGCATCCGGGGCTGTGTGTTTTTCTTGGGGGGGGGATTAGAAGGGTTTTTTTTAAAAATGGGCAGAAAATAATAAATAAAGCCCGAAGCCTGAGAGACATTGTGCGGGTTTTTCCCCCTCTCCTCCCCCCCCCCCGTCGGCGGCAGTCTCTCTCCCTCCCATCGCCCCCCCCCGCCCGCGCCCGCCGCAAATCTCCGCCAACCTCTTCTTTTCTACCCTCCCACCCGCTTTTTCGTTTTACAAGCAAGCAAAGGCGGCCGCTGCCAAGGAGGAGGAGAAGGAGAGCGTCCAACTTTGCCTTCGGAGCGCTCTCTCCGCCCGCTTCGCCTTTCTCCCTCCTCTCCAGCGCGTCCCCCCCCCCCGCTCCGCGCCCTGCCGCGCGCAGCCCCCGCCTCCCCCGCACTCTCACTTTCACTGTCAACGTTCTAAACGCGAGCCGCGGACGTTCCAAATACACTACAAAGCGGGGAGGGTGAAAGGGGAGGGGGGAGAGGGGCGGGGCGGGAAGGAGCCATCCTTTTGCTCACCTCTACAGGTCGCCACCAGGGACCCTTCCCTTCTCTCCCCACCTCCGTTTCCATCTCTCGCTCTCTTCTCCACTCCCCACTCCGTCCCTCCTTCCCTCCCGACCTTTCTTCCGGGATCAGCCAGTTACCGGCATCGTTAAGCTACAAGTCCTCTCCTCCTTCGTCTCCTTCTCCTGCTTCCCTTCTTGCCAAGTCTCTCTCTCTCTCTCTCCCCACTTTCTCTCTCTCTCTCTCTCTTTTTTAAAAAAAGAAGGGGAGGGGGAATGGTTGCAGACACAGCAACATGAAGTGGTTGAAGTAAAAAAAGAGGGGGAGGAAAGCCGAGGTGTGTGATGGGGGGGAGAAGAGAGATAGATATATAAATATATATATGGAGAGAGAGAGAGAGAAAGAACTCAAGGGAGGTTCTTGAAGGGCAGCTTGCAAAAGGCTCAAATCAACGACCAGATGCAATGTACTAGACCACAGTGCCCCCTTTCTGTCTGTCTGTCTGTCTGTCTTCCTTTCATTTTCTTTCCTCTCTCTCTCTCTTTCTCTCTCGAAATCCTTCAGTGTCTGGTTACAGACATCCAAATACACACACACACACACACACACACACACACAGAGAGAGAGAGTTCGGTGCCATCCATCTTACAGCTTGCTCGCATGCTCGCTTTACGAGCCCCCAGCCCGCAAAATATTGGGACTACACCTATACGCGCGCACCCCCCCGCCTCTTTCCTAAAAAAGGGCCTCCTTCCTTCCTTCCCTCCACCCCACACCCTTGACACCGCTCCAACAACGGCACCCCCCCCCCCACACACACGCCAAAAGAAAACCCCGGGGTGTCACCATCATTTTTGCCCATCACGTCTGACTTCCTCTCGGCGAGGCTGGAATGAGCCCTTCCTCTGACTCTGCATCCGACCCCGTCTCCCTCGCTCTCCCTCTCCCTCTCCCCGAGCCTCGCCACTACGACATCCCTTCTTTCACTCGCGGCGCGGCACCGGATACTTCCAGACCATCACCCTGACTACTAATGAGGCCAAGAATACACCAGCGGGGTCGGGGCACGAGTTAGGCTACAGACGTTACGTGTGTGTGTCCCCAAATGTATTCTACATTACCCTTCCGAAAAACACAGTCGACACTATTCCCCCCCCCAAAAAAAAAGACACGGATCAGGTATCTCACACTACCCTTCCCCGGAAAAAACCCAAAATGAAGGGAGGGGTTGCGTTAAGGAATGGTGGGGGTGCTTTACAGCCCACCTCTCCTTGTAGTAAATGAAATGGCACGCAGCTCTCCTGGTCCCCCCTCCCTCCCTTTTCCTCCCTCCAACCCCACCCACGGCACCTCTCCTTTATATTGCGGTATATTGTTAGCAGCGGCAACATGAAGCAGGCATTAAGAGCTAGCAGACCCGCTGTCTCGTGGCGGGGGTGACTTCAAAGCTGGCGGACACGCGCTCTGTCTCCCCCACCCCACCCCCTTCCAAAATTGTCCATGCACACCACTTCCACGCCACCAGGGTTGCGCGCTCCCCCCTCCCCCACCCGCACAGGGAGAAGAGACTATATTTGCAACATTTGGTAATTCACCAGCTATATGCTGTACTGATGAACTCATCAGTCAGGCAGCGCTTCTAGGAAGAGATGCTTTCGCGCGCGCGCTCTCCCTTCGCTAGCAGGCAGACAGACGGACAGACAGACAGACAGATACAGCATTCTTCCACCACCCAATGTCTCTGTCCAAAGCATTTTAGCCTTTAGTAATCGGAAAGGCTGCCATCCTAAACTCACTTCCCTGAGAGTAAGCCTCATAGAGCTCAATGGGCCTCCCTTCTGAGTAGACAATATGAGGTTTCCACTCTACATCTCGATAAATTGGTGAAAAGCACCTAAAGGCAACCAAAAACATTAAGTTTTTTTAAAAACAAACAAACACCAAAAAGACAAAACAAAAACAAAACAAAACACCAACATGTGTATGTATATTTTCCAGGAAGATGACAGTTGCATTGTGTGTTGTGCATACACATTAGACAAAAAAATCCAAGCAAGCAGCCCTGGTAGTAGGGCTTATGACTTTCACACATTATGGGTGCTGACCACAGGGGCTACCTTATTCTAAAACATGCATCCTATGGTTGTGCTCCTGGTGATTTAATATAAGCAAATATAATGCCATTGATATAGTTAACAGGGGGCAGACAGGGAAAGGGGTGTGCTTGATGTCTTGCACTCTCCCTGCAAGAGAGACTTGTGTGAGCCCAAGTTGGACCATCTGTACCCCAACCTATAAAGGTCTCTCTCTTGGTTTAACTCTACTGTATTGGGAAGTTTTTAATGTCTGATATTTTATTATGTTTCTATATGCTGCTGGAAGCTGCCCAGAGTGGCTGGGGAAAACCCAGCCAAATGGGTGGGGTATTATTATTATGGCCAACAGAAACTGGTGGCATCTTAAAGACAAAACCCATTTAATATGGTCCATGAAAGCTTATGCCATAATAAATGTTGTCTTCTGCTGTTTCTGCAGCGATGGACTAACATGGATATAGAAAGAACAAGTGGAAGGGCACCTGGCTAGGCAAATTGAGTCCTGCCCCACCAAGCTCAGACTGCCCTCAGCCAGCTTCCCACTTGCCAGCCTTCTTTCTTACAACCCATCCAGAAGGTAGCCCTGGCTGTCAGTTTCCTGTCTCAGGGTTGCCTTTCTAGAACTCAGCAAGGAGGAAGACAAAACTAGAAGGAGTTGTCTGTACCTATCATTGGCTGCGGTCCCACCTGCTGTTTGGGCTCCCTGGCTTCTGGCCCACCAGTCTCAAGGGGCTCCAGCCTCTGCTGTGATGAAATGAACCAGATATTCCAAAGGGTATGATTAATAAAGCAACAATGTATATAGTTCCATCACTGTACACTGTGTGCAAGGC